ACGGAGACCAGGGACATCCCTGGAACAGCGAGAGCCACTGTTCTTTCCCCATGAATGCTGACATTTAGCCGGGGTGCAGACTGCGAGCGCAGGCTCGCGTTGGCATTTCCATGATCCAGCCCATGGGGATGGGTTGCCGTGAGCTTTCCTCCAAATTCCTAGCTCTGGGGCTGCTCACTCCAGGGTTTTTATGATGGAAAAAAAGGGAAAAGCGACAAAATCAGGATCAAACTCTTGTTTTAGGGGGGAATGCAGCTGCACCCCATGTGCTTCACTGGGGTCTTATGAGGATCTGCGAGCTCAACCGTGCGCTTGGGTGCTCTCAGAGTAACACGGAGCATTAGCGAGCCCGAGACGGGGTCACCCTCACGCTCGTGGTGACCACGGGGCCACCGCTCGCGCTCTTGGTGACCGCGAGACGATGCGCGCCGCGCTCCCGCCGCACAATATCCCATTGAACGCCCGCGTTCCCGCCGCGGTCCCGCCGCGCCGTCGGCACAATGCGGCCCGTGTCGGCACGGAGGGTCTTACAGCCCCCGGGGCACAGATGCCCCTTTCTCCGGGCCGTGAATGTCAGGGATTTGTGCCCCTCACCCCTGTGTTCATCTCCTGGAAACAAAACGCCCTTTAAAAATAAATGGAGAGAGCGGAGTTGGCCGTGCCGGGGGGTCAGCCCGTTGCCCAAGCATGCGGATCTCAGGTCAGAGCATCCCAAGTTTCTGCACGTTGCCCTTTTCTGAAACCACAAACACTCCTGGCCAAGCAGGCACCCTTTAAACCACGTTGTTGCTCTGTAAGCCTCTTCCCAAGACAGGGACCTACCAAACACTCAAGCGATAGCGAAGCAAACAGACCTCCCGTCCCCTCTCCGTGCCCCTTCCTCCCCGAGTAAATATTTTTAGCTCTCGTAAACACAGACTCTTAAGCTCTTGAGAGAGAAAACCAGCGCTGGGAGATAAATAACTTGCCCACCCAGATTATCCATCGGCCCAGCAGTGCCGGAGACGCGTAGTTTGCTGGGATGTCACCTGGCCTCCGTCCCATATCCCTGCTGTCCAATGCGAGATATTCCCGGCAAGGAGTCACCAGGGGAAGGTCGGGAGCCAGGGGAAGGGGATCAGTGGCCCAGCTTAACATGCAGCAAGATTGCAGCCGGGCACATGGCCAAAGCTCGGCGCCGGGCATGACTCCGGCTGAATTTCCCAAGCTACCCAAGCCCCCCTGGGCCCAGTCTCCCGGGATCAGATTCCCATGCTGCATTCCCAGCTCTGGAAGCTCGGAAGCTTCCCGAAGGGGCTAAAATACCATCTGCCGAGCAGTCTGGTTCTCAGGCTCTTTGGGGTATTTTTATTTCTGAAGAAAGCACAAAACGCGGAGGAATTTGGTGCCGCTTTGAGGGTCCTATTCCCATCGCCCTAGGGAGTTTCTCCTTCGGTTTCCAGCTAATCTCTCACGTTGAGATGATTGGAGGACGAGCACTCAACAAGGCGCCCGTGCCCTCCATAGGGATGTGCAGCCCTTTGCCTGTGCGTGCCCCGTGAGCCGGAGCACGTGCAGGGAAAGAGCCAGCATCCCGCAGTGATGTTATCTTAGCAAATTGTTTTGTTTTGCTTGCAGATGCCTCGAGGAATTTGGCTTAAGCTGGAAAAGCATTAGCTCCCCAAGCAGCGGAAAGCTCTTTATTATCAGCTTTGAGCAGCTCGGAGATGGGAGATTATCAGGAAAGGCCTCCAAATCCACTTCCTTCTCGAAGGAAAACACGGCATCTCTCACTGGGAATTAGGGTTAGGAACGGGGTTAGTGTTGGGATTGGAGTTAGGGTTGGAGTTGACATTGAGATTCAGGTTAGGTTAGGGATTCAGGCTCAGATTAGGGTTAGGATTGAGGATGGGGTTCAGGTTAGAGTTGGGGCTAGGACCAAGGGAATCAGCAGGATGGAAGCGGCAGGTTGGGGGCAGCCAAGCTGTATCCCAAGTCCCCACATGTCTCCCCATCTGTTAAAGACGAATCCCGGAGGAATTTGGCTTGCAATCCCAAATAAGTGGCATGTTGGGCCTTTTGCTAGACCCTGCATCAGCTGGTTTGATTCACCAGCATTTGCAGCCTCAATGCTCCCCTCACAAGAGGAACATTGTTGGGCTTTTATCTCCTTCCCACCCCAGGTTTATCAGCTCTTTATTTATTTCTCAGCTTATTGCTTTCCTTGTTGGTCTTGTCATTCAGCTCCCTGAGTTCCCGAGGCTGCTGCAACAAGGAACCGAAAGAGAAGGAGAAAAGAAAAAAAAGACAAATAATTATTATTTGCATGTTCTCTGAAGCAAGCCAAGAAAGAGACGTCTCCAGGGAAAGGGTGGGATTCGCCTCTGTTTGTTTCTTCAGAGTATGAAGAAGAAGAAGTGATGGGAAGGCTGGTGGAACTGTTAACCCTTGCTGGACCAGGAGCTGTTGTCTTCATGAATGGACTGAAGCACAAAGAGCAGAAGCTTTTTGCAAAGGTGGCTTTGCAAGAGCCAAATGCAGGGACTTGGCTTGCAATCCTTGCAATTGCAGGAACTGCCTTTCCTCTCGATTTCACCGTTTTTCAGGAAAAGGACCTTCCTTTAGCAGAGGTTTTCTTGCCCTGGTCTCCAAGAGTTCCTGCAAACATGACCTGAATGCAATCAAGCCCCGGAGGCAAATAAAAAGAAGCCCAAGCTTATTATTTGCAAAGAAAACTCATGATTTTGGAGGCTGGCCTCACCGTTTTTGGCACCTGGTTTATGAGCTGGCAATACAGCGATGTCCCTGGGGAGAAATACCCGGCACGGTGCTGACCTGCAAGCCTCATTGATGGAGGTTTTGGGGTCAAATCACATCCCAATGCCACTTTTCCACCCTGAGCAGCAAAGCAATGGGAGGAAGGGGAGATGTCTGGAATGATGTAGCATCATTTACACTGGTAGGGGTGCAATAATTGCTGCAAATAATTGCCTTTATGCAGCGGTTACGTGTACCGTTGTTGCCCACAGGACTCCCAACCAGCTTTCCTGGAGGGCTTGTATTTCCAGTGCTGTTAATCCAACACCTTTCCCCAATACTAAATTCATTTACAAGGAAGGGGGGAAAAAAAGGAAATAAAATAATTAAAAATAATAATAATAATCAAGTGGTTTGGGAGACCATCAGCCTCTCTGACTTGGCTGAGCTTGGTATTAATTGCACTAACTCCAAAAGAGGCCCCTTCCCCTGGAGCCCGCTGGAAATCTCTTGCCATTCCCTGCACAGTCGCAGCTTCCAAGGGCTTTGCCTAATTGTGGCTTGTTATCCCGAGCAGGGGCCGGAGCCGCTGGGATCCTTCCCTTGCCTTTGGTGGAGACGCCGAGGAGAAACCCGTAAGCTTGGGACAGAGAGGCTGCTCTTGTCCTGCATCAGAGCCCTGATGCTCTCAGCACCAACCTCATCGAATAACTGGGTGTCTGCTAAGGAAAATCCCATGGGAAGGTGCTGGATTGATGGCTGAGGGATGGATCCTGATGGATCCTTGTTCTGCACCGAGCGCGCCGCAAGCTCATGGGACGCATTAGTGGCACTTGGGCAGAGACTTTTCCTCTTGGAGAGCAGGTTTTCCTGCTGGCTGGCTGCAAAATGAGCCCCACGGCCCTTATCGAGGGCTGACAGTGGGTGCCCCGACACCCAGCACCGACCTGGAGCACCGGGCCGGCCACCAGCGGTGCCGCTGGACCTGAGCACTGCTCTGGAGCCACCTAGTGACACCTCACGCCACGTCCTTCCCCCCGCAGGGTGTCCCCGGGCACCTCAGTCCGTCCACATCTCCTCCCTATGTGTCTCCTTTGCGTCCCTGGCCTCTTTGAACCAAATCCGGTGGGTTTTGGATTTCCAGATTTCCTTTACTATGCGTGGAGCAGCAGATGCTGCTGAGGACACTGTCCCCAGGGCTGCTGGTGGCTTCGGGACGAGCTCGCACAAAGGCACCCGGCCAGGAGGCACTTTTAAATACGGTTTTATTGGACGCACCAACAGCAGAGATGGGGTTCAGTATACACGGTATACACGACGCAGCCAGTGCCATCGGCGTCTCCGTCCTTCTGCTGTACCCTTTGCAAAAGAACCACGCACCAGAGAGCCCTCCCGAAGCCCAAAAAGGGACCCTACGGTCCCGGGAATGTCGACCTGGAAGGGATTTCCTAGGAGGAGAAATCCAGCTCCCGCTGTGCGGAAAGACTTGGCCCCGAGTTTGGAGGGAAGAGGACAACAGGACGCCCGGCGCAGCCCGTGGGGCAGCAAGCACCAACTCCAGAGCAAAGGCAAGTAGCAGCAACTCACCGGGCCGGGCGAGTTTACCCTCTGCCCTGCACTGGGGTGTGAATGAGCACCCCACTGCAAAACCACGGGCCGAGACGCATCGTTGGCACCCCGCGCCCTCTTCCCGAAGCACCGTTGGAAAATCCTGCTGGGAACAGGGCTGTCCCCGCTTCCCCAGGTTCCCGTCCAGGAGGAGGTCCGACTTAGGGAGGTAAGCACCATAAAATCTACACCGGTTTTGTTCAGATGACACGCGTGAGGAGGAGACAAGGATGGAAGGCACCGGGGCTGGGGGCTCTCTGCGGTGCGGCCGGGCTGCCGGCGAGCCCCGACGGGCCCCGTTGCACCGGGGATTCAACAGTACATTGGCCACCATCACACCGGTAGCTCCTTTTGGTCCCACGTAGCGCGAGGGTTGGGGAGGTCGAGGCAGCCTCCGCCCTGAGAGGTCCCGTGGGAGGCTCGGTTTGTGCAAGACAGGGGCATCTCCTGCGCGTCCTCGGATGCTCCCCGGACATCCGTGCGTCCCCGACTCTCGGCGTCGCCCCGGCTCTCCGCGCACTTTGGCGCCTTCGAGGTAGACGGTTATTCCCACCCGGGCTCCGAGCAACGTGCTCGACAAGAAGGAGGCCGAGGGCATCTCGCCCGGGCGCGCGGGTCCTTCGCCCGCCCGGTACGCGCCAAGTAACAGACCCCTCGGGCATCTCGCCCTCTCCCAACGCCTTGGGCCACGCGTCTCCAGCCAGAGACACCCCGTGCCCGCTCAGCACGGCCGCAGGGTGCAGAAGTCCAGCTCCTGCGGCTTCCTCCGAAAATTGCACCTATCCCGGGGCAGCAGCTGCCCGGCGGGCGCCGCGCACTTGAGCGCCCGCCTCGTGAAGCCCCGGCCGCACGTCTTGGAGCAGGGCGCCCAGGGCCCCAGCTGCCACGCCGGGCAGGGCTCTCCGCACGCGCGCACGTCGGCGGGCCGCTGCGCCGCGTCGCACGCCGCCGCCGGCTGCCCGTACGAGTCGCGGCACGCCACGGCGCGCTTCTGCAGCCCGTCGCCGCACGACACCGAGCAGGCCTCCCAGCCGCCCGCCGCCCACTTGTAGGACGGGCGCTTGTAGCTCGGCCGCCCCGCGTCCACGCGGTTCGACACGCTCAGGACGCTGTTGTTGAGGTCCGGGGGGCTCTTGCCCTCCTTCCTGTACGCCGACTTGTCCTCCTTGCTCTCCTTGGGGAGGTAGAAAGAGTAGCGCACGCGGGGAGGAGTCATCTTGCCCACGGAGAGCACCTCCAAAGTCAAGGGCTCCTGGATGGGCTTGAAGGCCTGGAGGCTCTCGACGGCCGTGCCGGTGCCGCTGTAGCGCAACACGCTGCCCTTCACCATGAGGTCCCTCTCCACGGCGGAGACGATGAAGTGCCCGTTGAGCAGGTACTTGCCTTGGCCGTTCTTCAGCGCCAGGTAGTTGTCATCGCTGACGAGGCCCTTGTAGCCCCGTTGCCTGATGTCGATGTTGGAGGCTCCCGCCGGGATGACCACCACGAAGTTATAGCCGTGCCTGGGAGGGGAGAGGCAGGTCAAGCAGGGAGATGGCAGGAGCTTCCACCCCCAAAACTGTTTCTTTTTGGCCTTTTGCCAGAAGACCATTTCCAATCTCTATGACAAGTTTCATCCAGACTGAAGTGACAACTGAGGTCACTCAAGAAGAGACTTTAGCTCCTCTGACTCAATAACATAAAGGAACTGGGAAAAAATTAGGTAACAGAAGCAGCACAACCTCTTTAGCACATTATATGGTTCTGTTGCTCCACTGGAGTCTCTACACAGGGACTGGAGATGGGATAGGTTGCTCTGGATGGAGCCGCTTTCTAGCTCCACCACCTTTAATGCATCCATCCCAAAAGGAGCCAGCAAAGCTTGGCCGATCCCCTCACACTTACATGGGTTTGGTGAATAAGCCCGAGACCTTCTTGCAGCTCCTGTTGTCCCCTCCGCACACGCTGCATTTGTCAAACTTCTTCTTGGAGCCCAGCTTGCCGTCACACCCCGCTTTGATGCACTTGCCCTGCACGCACACCGAGGTGGAGTCCGGCGAGCACGGGGTGCCGTCCACGACCTGCGCGACGTGTCCCAGCATGAGCGGCCGAGCCACCCACGGCCCCGCGCGCCCCCGCGCTCGCCCGGCCATCATCGCTCACCTTGGGCGCCAGCACGTAGAAGTAGCCCGTGCCGTTGGCCCGGCAGATGAGCTTGCACTTGTCCCGAGGCGAGACGCCCGAGTACTTGGGGACCCAGGAGACGGAGGCGGTGAGGCGGTTGGTGCTGTGGCTGTAGCCGTTGAAAGCCTCGCATTGCTCTTCTCGGAAGCTCTTCCCTGGCACTGCAAGAAAGGAGGCAACCAGGGGGTGAAGACCAAGGTGGACGCTTGCAGCTAGCGTGCGCTGCCCCATGCTACGGTTCCAAGGAAGAGCTTGGCTCTCCAGCATGGATTTATGGGTCCTTAGAGGGGAGCAATCCCCTCTGCCAAGGCTCTGAGAAGCGAGGGCAGCATCTCCGGGCCTTTCCACCCATTGCCCTCGATGCAGAGCGCAAGCAGCGGGGTCCCCTTTGACATTTTGGGGCATCTCTTGGAGCACGTTTCCAGCAGTGCGCTCTGACACAGGCCAAGAACTCGACATTTGGAGAACGGCTTCCCTCCCACCCCACCCCAAAAGGCAGCTTTTTGGAGCTCATCATCGCTGCAGGGCGGGATTGAGACTCCAGACCCAAAACGGGAGGCAGGAACGGCAGGGAGCCCCGCACGTCCTCGGCAGCAGCGTGGCCTTACCGGTGCCGGCGCAGGGCTCCAGGTTGCAGGAGCGGTACTTGACGCGGACGCCCTCGCAGTAGCTGCCGCCGCCGGCCGGCGCGGGCGCGTCGCACTCGCGCTTGGCCAGCTGCACGCCGCCGCCGCACGTGCGCGAGCACTGCCCGTAGGGCGCCCACTTGCCCCAGCCGCCGTCCACCTGCCGGGAGACGGCGCCGTGAGACGCTCCATCCCACCGGAGCTGCCTTCCCGCACTCGGAGTTTCCCCCTGTTGCTTCCGCGCACGGACGTGCCGGGCACGTGGCATGGAGGTCCACCAAGGCATGCAAGAGAAAGGCGCCAGGAGGTGGGTGCCCGGGTACTCACCCTGTCCTTGGAGACGTCGTGCCTCTCGACGCAGGCGCCCTTGAGGCAGAAGCGCCCGTCGCCGCAGCCGGTGCCGTCGGCCCAGGGGAAGTGGCGGGTCTGGCAGACGACCTGGCCGCGGGCTTTGCCCGTGCACCACAGCTTGGCGCAGTACTGCATGTAGGGGCACGGCTTGGAGCCCACGCCGAAGGCCAGCTCGCACTGCTGGCCCAGGCTGTAGCTGCCGCCCGGCAGCTCCTCGGGCAGTGCCAGGGCCTTGGCGGGCTGGTCCAGCAAGCAGTCTCCTGCGGGAGCGGGAGGGGACGCCTAAGCAAGGGGGCTCTCCATGGGGACCCCCCAAATTGTGGCAAAGCAAGAGAAAGGGGCCCCCGACGCTGCCTTCTCTTGGTTCTCCTTGTTGGTCCTTGACCAACAGCCCTGGCATTTCAGGAGCAGGTCTCGCTTTGCTGGACCCGCGCCACGAGGTAGAAGTGGGACGGGTTGTCCCCAAGCAGAGGGTCTCCAGCTCCCCCTCCGCTGCCCCAGCGTGGCCTCACCGTGGCCGCTGTCGAGGAAGTCGGTGATGATGGCAGCGCTGCAAGGGGACCAGGGGTTGGCGCGGTCGATCTGGATGAGGGTGGGCGACATCATGTGGTTGGTCTTGAGCTGGCCGAAGACCTCCTCGCAGGCCTTCACGTTGTCGTGGGGCATGTTGAAGACGTGGCCTAGGGGAGGGCGGCAGCATGAGCCACCATCCGTGGTTTGCAAAGGGGGAAACCGAGGCACGGAGCAGGGCATCTCTTGGAGGGCTCTGTCTTGAAGATCAAGACTGTCTTGCTATGAGGAAGGGGGCCAAAGGAGGCTCATTTTGACCCAATCTGTCACATCCCCGTGCCTCAGTTTCCCCGTATGTGCCCACAGAAGAAGCAGAGGAAGCGCGTGGCACCCCGGCGCCTTACCCAGCTCGTGCGCCGTGGTGAAGGCCGAGGGCAGCCCATCGTCCTCGATGACGGAGCAGCTGCGCTTGGGGTCGCACATGGTGCCCACGTCGGCCATGCCCAGCGTGTCGCACGTGGTGGCCCCGCACAGGTCCTGCGGGGAGGAGAGGCGAGAGCGTCGGCCACCGCTGCCCCAGCCCATGGGCTCCCTCCTTCCCAGCGGGAGTCCAGCCTGTTGGAGCCAGCACGTGGATGGGGCTCGGGAAAAAGGACTAATCCTGCAGGAAGCAGCGGGATGGGGCGTGCGCGGCCGGAGAGGAAACCTCGCCCAGCCCGCGGCTGACATGGCACCGTCACCTCCCCGCCTGGCACCGAGGCTGTTTTTTATATATAGCATCATGTAGCACGGCCTCGGTGACAGCAGCTCCCCTCTCACGGCTCCTCCGGCTGGGTGGAGGCCGGAGGAGTCCGCCTGGCTCCGGGCCTCCGAGAGCCCAAGGGCCCGGAGTTCCTTGGATTCAATGGAAAGACACCTGGCCTCGGCTTGCAGCTGCTCCCCGTTTCTCAACTGCTTCCTGGGGAAAAAAAAGGGAAAAGAACCCCCTGGATAAAGTGCTGGAATCCTGCCTGAGGACACCGCGGATGATGTGAAGCAGAGCTAAGGTTTGCAGCGATTCCCTTCCAAAACCAAGGCAAGAACGGTCACGATCACCATCCTCTGGGACAGGCCCCCACCAAAGCAAACCGTGGGAGCTGGACGCACTGCATGAAGAGCAAGGACTACGTTTCTGGTCCTTGCTCTGGTCCTTTCATGCTTGCTGCATGAAGAGCAAGGACCACGTGCACAAGGAGGACCCAGAGGAGCTGGAGACGTGGCCTTGGGGTGGCTGCATTGCTGGGCTCCTTGCTCGGGACACGCGTGTCCGTGGGATGCAGAGACTGCAGGAATGATGGAGCAGGGGAGCAGCAGCAGCCTATTTGTCCCCAACACCAAGGACAGCAACGAGGTGGCCTCCAACCCCAAACCAGCCTGTGCCAGGAGGTGTCTCCTGGCTTGAGGAAGCACAGCTGGAAGATCCCTAGCCTTCAGTGGTGCAGCAACCACGTATGCATGGCACTTAGGTGCCCTCTTGGCCAAGACCATGGGACACTTGTCCACCTGGTCCAGTGGAAAAAGCCCATCCAAGCCCATGGAAGTTTGCAGCACTGGGTGACAGTGGCTGCAAAGCTCCCAAGGATTAGCAGCTCTGGGACATCTGGGGTCATTTCAGGGTTTGCCCCATGGGAACCTCTCCGTAGCCCGAAACGGATGAGGAAGGAGGAAAGTCACTGCCGCAGCAGCAGCCTCGGGAAGGAGCCTTGTCCTTGGATGCCCCCTTGATGCGCTCTCCTGAGGACAGGACTCCAGCAGCCTCCTCCAAACCTTCCCCTGGCCTCCTGCGCTCCCGTCCTCAGCATCTCCACGCTCCCTTCTCCCTTGGTCAGCGCCTCCCTCACAGGGCTCCCCATAGGGGCTCCCCGCAACATTCCCGCTCTCCAAAGCCTCCGTCCCCATCCCTCTCCAACAGGGCTGCACGGGGGACGTCGGGGATAAGGAGAGCCCCACTGGGATGCAGGCGAGCACCCCGGGCGCTCTCTTCGCCCTGCTCGCCGCTCCTGAAGAGCTGCCGCTCGCTCGCTGGCGCCGAGCGCTCCTGGCTCGCATCCGGCCACCTGCACTGACACACTGACCCACTTCTGGCCCGCCGCGCGCGGCTCCTCGGGGACAGCGACGCTCGAGCCCAGGGTCCCCGTGCAAAGCAGAGCCTGGCTTCCCTAGGGAAGAGTCTCTCGCATCCCGCATCTGGGCTCCAGCCCTCCCGGAGCGCGGAGGGAGCGGGGAGCCAGGAATCGCGTATCCAGGCATGTTTCCTGCCGGCACCGGGGGCCGGAGCAACTTGATGTTCCACCAAGCCGAGCTCGGAGGCTCTGAGCAGACCTCAGGGCCAGCGGGCACGGAGCCGGTGAAGCCACGGAATGGGACGGGAAGTAGGGCCAAGCTGGAGCCGGGGAAGCGATTTCCACGTTGTGCCGGGGCTAAGGTGAAGGTCCCTCCTCTTCACACAGGGCTCCTGGCACAGGGCTCCCCAAGGCTGAATCCAGGCTGACTTCAGCGGGAGCCGGAGCACCCTGCGCCCGGCCCCATCCATCAGCGAGCTGTTGACGCATCTGGAAAGTGCCTATCCGTGGGGCTCGAAGCGCAGGGACACTCGGGGCATACGTAAGAGCGCCCTGGCAGCGCCGAGAGCTCCGGGGTGCCGGGAGGCCGCGGATGGAGGCGGTCAAGGCAGGCAGATGGCTCCTCGAGCGGAGCTTTGCCTGGGGATTTCAGGAATGGCCCTTTAGCAATGTGTGGAAAATGCAGCCCGGATGGGCTCGGCGCTTCGGGAGAGAGCGGCTCCCGCGTGCCCGGCACCGCGTCCATCCCGTGCGTCGCTCCGCTGACCTCAGCAGGTTTCCACCAGCGACGGAGCCGGCACATCCCAGGTTTTCCTGCCAACAACAGCTGCTCCAGCAGGCCGGGATACAGTGGGAGCGCTTGGCTTGGGAAGTTTTGGGAACAGCCCCACCACTTGCAAAAGGGGAGTTCCCAACCTGTCCCTAGGCCACCGAGCAAGGACATCTGCGCAGAGAGGATGTGAGTCGTCATCGCTGGCAAAGCCCCATGAACTTTCTCCTCCGCTCCCATCATGGGTTTCCATGATAAAATGTGACCTGTCCCCTTCAAACCGGGCTCCTCCTCCTTCCCTCCTGTCAGCGCTTAGGCGATGTAACGTCCCCGCTCAGCCCCACCTGGGTGTCACTGCTGCTTCCCAGAGAAAACCCTCCTGATCTGAAGAGGGAAGGGAGCCAAGCAGAGATGGAGAGGAGGAGTAGAAACCTCTCCAAGCTGCTCTGCTTTGGTGGTGCCCAGTTACCCTTGCCCTGCTGTAGCAATCCAGACCTAACCAGAAGACGGCTCCAGAGCCCTTGCAAAAGCACTAACTACCAGTGAAAAAATAAGGCAAAAGCAGCTGGAAAGCCCAGGGACTGGCACCTGAACCTGCAAACTGCAAGGGCATTCCTAACAGGAACCAGGGAACAAGGGTTCTTCCGGAAACCCCTGGAAAGGGGGCAGCCCCGAGGGGTCACCCCCAAGCCGCGGGGTGCCGACACCCACCTGCTTGGTGAAGAGGATGGCGGTGTCCCAGTACTCGGGGTGCTTGTCGCTGCCTTTGTTCCACTTCTTCTGCCAGGCGCAGAAGTTGCGCAGCGTCAGCGCCGCGTTGCCCGTCACCTTGGGCCCCTTGTCGTCCTGCCCGATGACGAGGAACTTGACGACGACGATGTCCACGGGGTTGCGGATGCTCGGGTGCTTGTAGAGCCGGGCGGCCGTGGCCATGAGCGTGAGCACGTAGTGCTGCAGGTCGTCGCCGTGGAACTTCGCCATGGACTCGTCGGCCACCACCAAGGTCTCCACGTAGCGCGGCACCGACACGAAGCGCTTGGCTCTGCCGCCGGCCGGCCCGGCCTCCTGCGGCGGAGGCCCGCGCGCCCGGTACTTGTCCAGCGCCTGCAGGATGCCGGGGTTGAGGCCGGAGGCCACGGCGCAGCGCGAGGCGGCCGCCCCGGCGCGGCGCCGCTGCAGCCGGTGGGCGCCATCGGGGCGGCCGCTGGCCAGCGGGCTGATCACGTACTCGGCGCCGCGGTAGCCGAACGCGCCGCGCAGGCCGCCGCAGAGGCTGAGGGCGGCGAAGGAGTCGCCGTCGCCGTTGACGGTGCCCGAGTAGAAGCAGTGGCGCAGGCCCGGGCGGCCGAGGCGGGCGGCCAAGGCGGGCGCCACGAAGTGCGCGTCGGGGGCCAGCTGCAGGTAGAGCTCGTCGCCGAAGGCCGCCAGGAGGAAGAGCACGGCCTGCCCGGCGCCCACGTAGGGCCGCCCGTTGATGTCGGGCTCGAGGCGCAGCGGGGTCACGAGCGCCGTCTCCATGGGCGGCGGGCGCTCGCTCCGCGCCGTGCCCGGCACCAGCAGCACCAGTAGCACCAGCAGCGGCAGCAGCATGGTCCCGGCCGGCTCAGAGCCGCATGGGGGGAAGGCAGCGGGAGCAGCTCCTCCGGATCCCCCCCTTTCCGAACCGGGTCCCCCCCGCCCGGGGCCGGTGTCGGTGCCGCCGTCCGAAGTGCGGAGCCCGGGAGGGAGCGGAGCGCCGCGAGCCGCCTGTCCCGCCGCTACCTGCCTTGTGGGGCGCTTCGGGCTCCTTATATACGGCGCCTATGGCCGGGGGGAGCGGGGCGCGGCTTGGCCCCGCCGCAGCCACTCCGGGACGGGGGGCCGGGAGCGCCGGGAGCGCCCGGAGCGGCGCCGGGAGCGGGGCCGGGAGCGGGACCGGCAGCGGAGCCGGGAGCGGGGACGGGAGCTCCAGGAGAGGGGCCGGCAGCAGGACCGGGAGAGCTCCGGGAAAGGAACCGCGAGCTCCGGGAAACGGAGAGGGAGCTCCGGGAGCGGGGCGGGGACAGCGCCGGGAGCTCCGGGAGTGGAGCCGGCAGCGGAGCAAGGAGCAGGACCGAGAGGTCTGGCTGGGAGCAGGACTGGGAACCTCGGGAGTGGAGCAGGATGCAGGACGGGGAACGAGCCTAGGAGCAGAGCAGGATGAAAGACAGGGAGCTCCAGGAGTCAAGCACGGAGCAGGATCGGGAGCGGAGCAGGATGCAGGACCGGGAGCGCTGGGAACGGGGCCGGTCCCAGCATCTCCCGGCACTGCCAGGGATGAATCAAGGCAGCGGTTCAAGGATCTTCTGGGAGAAGAGAAACCTTCTCCCCTCTCAACATCCCATCCTGCAGCAGCACCCAGGCTGCTCCCATCCCTCCAGCCCTGGGATGCTCCCGTGTCCCAGCTCCCGGCCACAGTGTCCCAGACGCAGGGAGTCCACACAAACACGTGTGCACATTGGAAACACAAAGCAAAAGAGCCGCTAACGACACCGTGCTGGTGCCAACCCCCGGCCCCCACGTTGTCTCATGGATTGTCCCCATCTCCGAGCCCTGGGCACGAGCAGAGGGAATTAGAGCCTTATTTTGATTCCTAGCCAAAGGACGTGGCTCTGGGGCCCTGTGTATCCCGGTGGCCAGAGGGGACCTATCTCTGTTATGTCTCCTCCAAAGAGCCAGATAAGTGAAAGCGGCGGAGAAGGAAACAGGGCCAAGGCCAAGCAGGTCCCAAATCCCCATCTGCAGTCTATTCCCACTCCATGGGTTTTTCCAGGCATTATCGGGGTGCTTTTCACCTCCTGCAGCTTCTCTGAATTTAGGTGGCAACAGGGAGAGCTCCTGGGGATCCAGGAATGGAAGTGGATGGTGCCTTGTGGCCCTCCATGGCCTCAGGAACACACGGCATCATTCAGCCCACATCTGACTCCACCTCTGGATCTTCCCTAGAACACAAATCCCAGCACAGTCAGGCCCAATCCACAGCCCACCCTTCCCTGGAAACGTCAGCGTGTGCTCTGGAGCCTCCTTCCCCACCTTCCCATCACTTCCTTCCGAGCGCATCCGGGAAGAGGCGACGAGTTTGTTATTGTTTGGGAATTTTGTATGAGTTTTTTGCGGTTCTTTCTTTTTCTTTTTTTCTTTCCATCCCCTCCCCAATGCCAAGTTTGCAAAGTCCGCAGCAAAACGGAGAGCAAAAGCCTCACGTATCTCCTGGATGTTCCAGCTCGCAGAAGAAAAGGTTTAAAATAGACCGTCAGGGAGCTCCGAGCCAAAGATAGAGCGGGAAGGCTGGAGCCAGGGAAAAAAAGCCTGGCTTTGCGAGCAGTTCACTTGTCTTCGCTTGAAAGGTTGGCAGATCCCAGGCCTGGGCTCGCACCCAAAAGTTCAGCCTGTGCTCCCAGCTCCCCAGCACACGAGCAGGAAGGAGGATCCTCCCCAGGGAGCAGGGATGAGGCAAAGCGAGTTGTTAGGGCGGCTTTCCAGGAAAGAACCGCTTGGAGAAACCCTGTCCTGGTCCACACTGGGTCGGAGAGGGAGAGATCCCAGGGAAACCTGGGCACATGGAGGGGTTGGGAGCACGGCTCCATCCGTGGGCTGTGGAATTGCTGCATTTCCAGCCCCTATCACAGGTTCCGGGGCTCCTCCTGGCTCATGTAGCGGATGTGCAAGAAGATCTTCCCCAAAAATTAAATAGTGAGGGGAAATTTCAAGGAGATGGAAAATGGTGCAGGTCAGAGATTTCTGTATTTGGTTTCTGTATTTGCAAACTGTGTTTGCCCACATTGCCCCTTGCAGCTGGGCATGCAGAGTGATGCTCATGCTGTAGACACATAACCCACATATACAAAAACACCCCAAAATTGCCGAGCTCCAGGTGAGTCCGAAGGCTTCTCCACGTTTTCCATGTCTGGAATGAGGATGGGGATGATGCTCAATGCAGCTGTGGAGGATGCTCCTCACGCAGGAGACGAAGCCCCTGCCTTTTCAGCAGCCCACAAACCACTCTGAAGAGGGACAGGGAGCAGGATTAGGATCCATTGGCACGTTTATTTTCCCAGAGAAGCAATTATCCCAACGCCCTGACCACTTTCCAAGCTCTGCAAGATGCTCCATGCCCAGGCTGGGCTGGGGGATGCAGATACGGCTTAGTCCTGAGGTTTGGAAAGCCAAGAAGCTGCTCCGGGTGCGGCACGTCATGCACCTGCATGCGGGGAGGCCGCAGGGACACGCTGGGACGTGGCTGCCCTCTGGTGACACCTTTTTTGTGTGTTTTTATTTCTCTCGCATGTCCCCTTTTGAGAGCAAAACAAAAATAATAATAATAACTTTTAAAAAAAAGATAAAAAGGCAAAAATAACACAATAAAAACAGAAATTGTGAGTGTGAATGCCATGAGCTGGCTTTGAAGCAGCCTCATATTTGTCATCTAGCCCCTTAGCTCCGGCTTTTCCCATGCGATGCCGGGTAGAGATTGCAGTTTTCCACAGTGTAGGTCCCGGTGTTGGATACTCCCTAGGTGGGAGAAAAACAGCTTTTTAATGCTGTTTTTGCAGACTTTGAGCTAGGAAATGGTAAGGAACAAGTCACGGGAGCCCTCTCGTGGTTGAGCCCATGGATTTTCTGCAGCGCTTCCGAGTTTATCCAAGGCCAATTTGTTTTGCTAATCCATTTCCTTCTCCAAAGCATTTTGCTCACGCAGGTTTGCAGCGAGCTAAACACACCTCCACATTTACCTGAATCCAACTTTCCAACCTTTGCAACCAAGACATTTTCCCCAGTGCCAAGCCCAGATACTTCCCTGCAACAGCTTCCTTGCTGCCCGCTGGGTTCCATTTAGAAGGCAAACTAATCAAATTACCTGTTCCAGCCACAAAAAGCAATCCTCAAATAGTTGTGCCAACTCTATTGTGCATTCCCATGAAGTCCTAAGTTTGCACTTTCCTCCTGGAAGCAAAACTTGCTTTGCAGGAGCAAAACCCATGAGGACACGGTTATTGCTTCGTGCAAGGCAGCACTGACATCTAGCGGCATTTTTCCAAAGGATTTGCAGCTAGTTTGTCCAACATTTCCCTTCAATATTTCCCAATATTTGTCCAATATTGTCCCTTCAGCATTTCCCTGGTATTTTGCCACCCAGGCCTAGGGAGTTTTTGCGATTCCCATTTGCAAACCAGAGCTGCTGAGGTAAAGCGGCGCTGCCACTTGTGGTGCCGGCGCATCCTCCCACAACCCAGATGCAGGGGATATTATTTTTCTCTCCCTGTTACGCAAAAAATAAAAAGCCCTTTAAAAAGCTAAGCAGTAACTCGAGCCTTGGCCCCATGTAGCTGGTGCCTATTTCTAGTTGCTGCTGGGTTTTTATTATATAGGTAGGGATGGGGCTTTTCAGTGAGGATAATAATAGTAAGGCAGATGTAAATATATGTTTACATAGAGCAGCCTTTAACCCTGCATTTTGGCCGGGATTTGGATTTTCCGGGTCCTGGGAGAGCAGGTATCCCGGGATGCTGAGTGTTGCTTGATCTTCCCAAGCCCCTGTGCTGCTTTCCCCGCTCTTTGGAAAAGCAAGATAGGACCCCAGGGCAAAGAGATCCCGGGATATTGGTAGGCTGGGGGGATCCAGAGGCCTGGGATCCACTGGGGAGACACCGGCTCCATCCCCATCCTGGCGCCGGCTCCATCCCGGCCGCGGCTCCTGGTGCCCAGCGGGTCCCCAGGCAGGGACAGCGACTCCCTGCGGGGCCCGGGAGCCGGGACCCGCGCTGGCTCCACGGGGAGCGCATCCCGGGAGCCCAAGGGGTTAATTTGGGGAGAGCAGCAGTTCGGAGTGGACACTTGGAGGCAGGCGGCGCCGCCGGCTCCCCATTGGCTTCCAAACTCATCCAAAAGCGGCTTTTTTTTTTTTTTCCTCCTTTTTTTTTTCTTTCCCTCTCTCCCTTTCACTTCTCCTCCTCCTCCCCCAGCCCCCGTCGGGCAAGGGACCAGTGAGCGCTCAAAAATAACCCTCTTATGTCAAAGCCGGCGGGGCGGGTTGCGGGGGGGGGGGGGGGGGGAACGCATAAATAGCGCGGGGCGCCGCAGCCGCCTTCCCACAGCCCGCGGGAGCCGTCGGAGGGGCGGGAGGAGGCGGAGGAAGAGGAGGCGGAGGAAGAGCAGGCGATGCCGGCCCCGCTCCACCTGCTGCTGCCGCTGCTGCTGCTGTGGTGCCACGCGTGGGCGCTGCCGCGGGACGCGCACACGCTGCTGCCCGCGCGGCTGCCCGCGCCGCCGGGCCGCCTCGCGCTGCGCCTCGCCGCCTTCGGCCGC